AAATTATCCAAAGTAGGAACAGTTGAAAAGTTTCTATCTGCAAAGGATATGGCTAATGCAAAACCACTTTTAAAAGAAAAAAATTCAGAAGTTAGGGAACGCTTTATAAAATATATAGACAAAGCTTCAGGTGGAATTTTTGATTTTTATTATGAGTCTGAATTGTCAAAATTCAACATACATCATTTAATTATGAAGTATAAGAGTGAGCAAACTACATATTCAGCAGAAGATTTTTTTCAATTTGCCAGTGCTAATATGGGAGCTAATTGTGCAGTTGTCGAAGAACAGACAAAAGAACAGTCAAATTGTCCCAATTGGTACCATTTACGCTTTGGTCGAATAACTGCATCCAAAATTTATGAAGCTGCTAAATGTAAAACAAGAGAAGGAAGTCTTCTGGAAAATATAATGGGTGCAACAAAGGCTTTTGAAACCTATGCTGTTTCAAGAGGGAAACGATTGGAACCCTTAGTTTTAAAACAAGTTGAAATAGCAAAAAAAATTAATATTAAAAAAGTAGGCTTGCTTTTGTCCAATCGGTATCCGGTTTTAGGAGCATCCCCAGATGGCATAACTGAAGAATTTTGTGTGGAAGTGAAATGCCCAAGCAAAGAAAAAACTGTGGAAAACTACATAAAAAATAATGAAATAGTAAAAAAATATTATTATCAATTGCAAATGCAATGTTTTTTTTCTAATAAAGATAAAGGTCTCTTTTGTGTAGCTTCTCCAGATTTTGAAAATGACAAAGTTGTAAATATATTTGAAATCTCATTAAATAAGGAAGAAATTGAAAATATAATAGACTTGGCTTTAACTTATTGGAGAGATAATGTTTTTAATTGTTTAATTAATTTATAATTTGTAATATTGAAGGTCAATAAAATATATAGGATATTTCGTACCTACACCGCCAAACTTTAAGATGTGGCAGAGAACATCAATTTGTTTTTTTGCTTTATAAACATAAGGTTTAAAAAATCACTTTTTAATCAATATGTTAAGTACGTTTTAACAGATTTGCAGTTTGCTGATATCTTAGTTATGTATCTTTGGACCTATTAGCATGTATCTAAAATTTCCGTAAATCTATAATTTTTTTCTGAAAAAGAACAACATCCTGCAAACTTTTTAAAATTTTTATTAAACAACTAAAAATATCAACTTGTTTGTCCCTTGATTTTTCCTGTCTCGGTTCCTTTTTAAGTTGTATTTTTAGCTACTTGGGAGACATTCAAAAGTTGGTGTTTTTTTTTTTTAACTAAATGAGAATAATATCAAGACACAAAAAAGTGTTACTTTTAATGGCCTTATTCAAAACAATGATAAAAATATCAATGTGTCGTTGTTTTTGTGTAAAATTCCCTTTTTCGAAAATGAAGCGTTTTAGTAAAATGATTATTTAGAAAAAAAAAATTTTTGATGTTTCATACCACCCCTTAATGTTTGGCAGTATAGTTATGAAACGCCCTGTATAATAAAACAAAAATAAACTTGTATTATTTTATTAATGGTCCTTGAGTATTTACAATAGCACATACAATTATAATTATTTCATCTATTATACTAAGATAATTTAAATCTAATCTAGAATGAATATCTACCATTTTAAATTCTCTAATTCTTTTGATAATGCGTTCTATATGAATTCGAAGTGCTGCTATTTGTTTGGCCCTCCTCACCTCTGTTGGCGTCAACTTAGTGCCTTCTGAGACACTTGGTGGTCTAACTAACTTACAATTCGTTCTATTTAATAGTTCGTCAATATTTTTAAAACCCCTATCAGCCATGATGTCACAATTTTCAATTTTATTTACAAAACCACTGACATTAACCAAATTGGTATCTGTTATACGACCACCATACCCTTTAGATATGAAATTTATAAAACCATTTGGTGTGCCACTTATTAAATATTTAATGGTGTTACATTTCTTGTATTCTGACCATGATTGACTTTGGTGAATAGGGTTAGATGGTTTTTGAATTTCTATCTCAAAGCAATCTATAATGAATTTAACATTACTATACCTATATATAAATGGGATAGGCAATAACAATTTTATTTGTTGATGAGTTGGAAAAAAAATAAAATTTTGAAGCACGTTGGCAATTTTTGGCACACCATTTCTAAATATTTGCTGAATTCTGGTATCACTCAGACCAAAATCCAGAGCTAATCTAAAATATACATCATTTAAATGTATTTTTTTTAGACATACAAGAACATCTCTGTATGTTATTGTCTCAATTTCGGTAATAAATTTGGTGAGATTATATACATAATTTGGTAAACCTAAATAAAATTTTGAATTTTTTTCTATAATATAAAATGTTGTTTGTCTTCGTTTGTCCATCATCATTATATTTTCTTCTTTTAATAAATCTTCATCTGAAGAAGAAGACATTTCTGTGGGGATAGTTGAAGAAGAACTACTAGTAACCACTTCGCCCAAATGGCTGACTGATGGTTTAATCATTTTAGATGGACCAGCAACACTGATTTCCTCAATTTTTCTTTTAATAGGCTCTCTTTGTTGTTCTACTATTGGTCCAAGATTTTGTCGTGGAACACCTACCTCGACTTTTCGTTTAGTAGACCCGTCTTGCGGTTGCACTAAAGGCCCAAGATGTTGGTGTGGAATTACTCCCTCTCGCAATTGACATCGTGTTCCACCTACAAGCTGGAGTTCCCTGTAGTTAATTATATCATTCGGACCCTAAAAAAAAAACATTTTTAAATAAAAAAAAGTAAATATTAACAAAAAGAGAGAAGAGCACTTGTTTTTTTTAATTGTAGTAAGGTAATGTAATTATTAATTTGATACAAAGTTCACAAACCAAAATTAATGAACACTGGATGAAGTCCTGTAAATGTAGTCTCATTTTTGTAACAATATTTTTAGCCCAATGATGCCTATTTAGACCAAACTAGTAGTTACTACAAATTTTAATAAGTGACTTATGAGTTTAGTTTTATCTTTGTTATTACTTGAGCCATTGTGAGAATGGATAATGTATACAAATTTCATATTGCCATTTTTAGTTAAAAAAAATATCAAACTCAAAAAGTAATAAAAGTACATACATCAAAATGATTTTCACAGCAATGATAGCGTCCTCCTCCTTTAGGAACATTTTCTTTTCCAACAGCTGCAAACCATAGCTTTCGTTTTCCCCAATCTCTTGGAATCGATAAGAAAATCTTGTTGCAGTTTGATGATTTGTTTTTGCAATTTGGTACAAAACAAATCTTTTCCATTTTAATAACTGAAACATAATTTAGGTATGTTAATTCTTTATGTTTACCAACATTTTTTTTATTATTTAACTTGAATTAGTTTTGACATATATATAAAAATATCTAGCACTGCATTCAAAGTTTTAGGAAATTATGTATTTTATTTTCAAACAGAAATAGTCTTATTTAATACATACCAGATATTTTTCCACACAGCGCGTACTTAATAATATAAAATACTTATAACTAATATTGTCCAAACCAAATAAAACACCTAATAAATGAAATATGAAACACAAAATACAGTAAAAAAAGTAAAAGTAAACAGAACAGAGACCAAGCGTCAACAAAATGTTACTGAGGTTAGTCGGTTAGTAAGGTTAACTGGTTAACGTCATATGTCAAAATAAATTCAAAAGAACAAAGCGTTATATGAAGATATTCATACAACGAACAAAGCTATAATCTTGGCAACACTGTAGAGAGTGAAACAGAAATTATTGGTTAAGAAGCGGCGCCACTTTCAAAATCTATTAATTACTTATTGTCGATTTTTGTTATTTAATGAATTTTATAAAAAAAATTAAAATTAACATAAGCGACTAGGTCCCTTAAAGTAACTATTCATTAACACAAAACCAGGAAATTCGTTCCTACTGGATGAGTCCATTATTACATCTGCGCGATCATGCGTCGTGGGAACGGACCGACCTTTGAGGCCCAACTCACAACCCAGGATTGCCACTCCACGCTCCGAGGAGTGCCGCTCCACGTGCCTTTGGATCCCGGCTTTAGGTGGCTTGATTTTGTTGTTCGGCTTTGTTTTTCCAGTTTATGCCGCGTTTCAATATCTACATCGGATGCATCTGAGATGTGAATTTTTTATCACTTGATAGAGAATTAGATCTTAATGTAGATGTAGGGTGAGATTACAGAACGTCTGCAACTTTACAGATCTGCAAATATGGCGGACTTACAAATGCAAGTATTCCAAAAAATATCTGCAAATTCGCAATATTTATTGTGGTTTATTACCCCCAACAACACTAAATCCAAATTTGGAATACGAAAATTTGATACTTGCATGTGTAAGTCAGTCATATTTGCAGATTTTCAAAGTTGCCGCCATATTTGCAGATCTGCAAAGTTGCAGACGTTCTGTAATCTCACCCGTAATAAACAAACGCTCTAGACTTTATTGGTCACGTGAGAAAATGACAAGTTAAAAGTTTATACTTTTTAAATTTGACTTTTGAGACTACAAATCAACCTAAATTTGAAATCTAAATAAAAATTAAACAAACTAATCATTTTTATATTCATGCTAGCATAAACAAAGGATAAATTGACAAACTTGGCTTCATAGAACACTTACTTTCTGGCATAGAACGAACATCTCATTCACATATCATTTCAAATCGAGATGTAAAAAATTTAATCTGGATAGGTACATCTCGGATAAACAAACGCAGATGTAGATGTTAAATGTCCGATGTGGATAAACACAGATCAGTGGGATAAACAAACGCTCGAGATGTAAAAAATGCATCGGATGTGGATATTCAAACGCGATATTAATAGTGGCAGGAGCAGAATTTTTAGTTTTGAACAAAACTAACGCTAAAACTATCGGAATTAAAAGTGCCGACGGAGTGACTAACCGAACGGAACTATGTTTGAAGTTTGCAGTTCCTTCTGTCAATTGTCATTTTTCGTTTTTCGCTGTTTGTTTTTACCTTTCATAAAATATGTATGATTAATTTACATTTTACATATAAAATAACTAGAAAACCGATATCGTTTAATTGTTATATTAATGATGAATATGAAACAAGAACAAGAAGAACGTTTGGAAATTGGTGTTTTCAAAAACAACCTCGATCTTATTTCTGAACAAACGTATAAAGACGAAGATGATGATGTTTTTGATGAGTTTGAAACCAATACGCCGGGACAAAATGTTGAAATTAAAGAAGAAATCGAATGTGAAGAGCCTAACATTGAATCACGTTCGGATTTTCAGCTAAAAATTAACAGTGGTTCGATGCACGGAAAAAAATTGTGTGCTACAACTATTAAAAAAGAATTTGAAAATACTAGTGAAGTTAATGCTACGGATATCAAAAATATCAAGGAAGAGATTGATGAATATATTCAGTCTAAAGTTGAACTTTTGACTACTCATTGTGATTTACCGACTTTGAAAAATGAAAATACTGAATATCAAGAAAGTTTAGCAGAGTTGTGCGACAGGGAAGACAATGAAAGGATATCAAATACATTAAAAAATGACGAAAATGTTACAGATATAAAAATGAAAAGGAAGCAGTATCGCTGTCAAAAAAGTAAGTACCTACTAAATGATTATCAAAGATAACTAAGGCTAAATTTTTAGACCTGAAAATTGTACTTTTTACTTTATTTGTCAAGTATGTACCTAAAATGTAAAGTATAATTTATAACCAACATAACTCAACTTAATGACATAGAAATTTAACAAATAGTATACTAATAAAGTCTAAGTAGATCATGAGTGTAGTATTTCGGAGTTTAACAAATTAAAGGTAACCTTATTTATTTATTTATTTATTTATTTATTTATTTATTTATTTATTTATTTATTTACGGGTCAGAGCCCATTAAAACAATACAATTACAGATATGAAATAAACAAGTCATCGCCCTAATAAGAAAAGTGCCTAACTCCACTTTTTTTCAAAAATGGGATTTAGATACCATCTATTAGAATAACGGTTGAACCACCTTCTGATAAAACTTTAGAGTGTCACCTTAACTGGTTAATTTTAAATTGAAATAATAAAAATTTGCCGATTTCCGATTTGATAATTGCCAAAAAGAAATTTGCCACTTTTGTTTAGAAGAACGCGTTGGATTTTTTTTTGTGCTACATTCAAAGTTATATGTGAAGAAAAACAGTAATAATTCAATAATGTATTTGTTAAAAAATAACTTTTTCTTGTCTCCTGTAAAAATTTTCAAAACAGAGATAGGCAGTTTTGTTATTAGGGCGACGAAGTGTAAACTATGTACCTACTTCTAAATTGAACCTTTCATTTCTGATTTGAACTTGTTATCTGCCTGTTTAACATCTCTCAAATATTCGACAATTGTTTCATCTATGATTGATGTCATGAGGTCATTAATTAATTTTTGGTGGAATGAATTTGTACTGAAAATAAAAACAAACAACATTTCGCATTGAAAACCTTGATGTTAAACATTGCTTTAAAATAAAAAACCCATTATAATTTAAATTAATAGTAATTTATCTCTTCTGCAGCCTTTTCATATTTAAACTCTTATATTTGTATCTAAACAATCATGTTCAAACTTTCAAACAAAGTGGTTAACTATCCCCTCCATTCATCCATCATTTTTTACCCTATGGATGGTGAATTCATCGCTGGAAAAAAGAATATTTGACACTATTCAATCATCTTTACTTAATTTATGAACAGTTGCTGCAAGCACTGAATACAGGGCTGATTAAAAAAAACACATGAATATCTATATTGTAGTACAGTAAAAATAAATGATGACCTGAGCAAAATTGTGATACAAATGATTCTTTTTGCATTATACTGCGAGATTTGTCTATTTTAACATACTCAAAATCCCCATTATGTAATTTCGGCCCAAAAAACAGTCAAAATCCAAGATGGCGGTTGAATTTTGTATTTTTCATTTAAAAATTTATAACTTTTTTATTTATGATGGTATTTCGATGAAATTTGGCAAAATGTTTAAAATATAAAGATAAAAGTATAAAAAAATAACTATTGACGTTACTTTATTTTTTTCAAAATAGCAACCATTTAAATATTTAGCATATGTTGCTGCAAATAATTCTCAACCATTTGTGATAAAGCAAGTTATGTGCTCAATGGAGGTTCCTTACTGTATCGCATGTCATGGTACAAAGACATAGTACATTCAGGGATATAGCAAAATCTTATGCCTCATTTGTGACAGCTAATTATGAGCAAGAAACTGTAGTTTTTATTTATTTATTTATTCATGGGCCTTGCTCACTTTCAGTACAAAGTTACAAATAAAAACAAAAAATCTGAGAGTCAATCTAAATAATATGACATAATAATGATAAACTAGTAAACTAATAACAAAAATCATAAATATATTAACATGTACAAAATCGAAACAACTAATGGTGCCATGAAATGTAGTTGCCGAAAGAATGATTTGGAATGTACTTGTTCATGTGGTCAGTGTCAAGAAACAAATTGTGAAAATAATTCACAACAACTACAAGATAAAGAAATCAAAAGTACAGGTGAAGATTATGAAGAATTGCGAAAAAAAAACCAGCTAAATTTGTTCAACCACATACTTTGAAATTAAGGTTTTTTTGTTCTTGTAAGTCTAATCCTAATTATAAATGCGAATGTTTGGATGCATGGATGAATGGATATTTGTTTCTCAATCATCACGCCAGAATGGCTGAACCAATCTGGATTAAATTTGGCAAAAAGATAGATTATAGTCTGGAATAGCACACAGGTTTTTTATTCTGGAAAAATATACGGTTCCCATGGGATAGATTTGTTTTTGTTTTTCACAGAGCAAGGGTTCAGATTTTTTGCATAGGTAGTGAAATGTGAAAATTTGAAATGCAGCTACTGAGCATAAATAACGTGTTTCAGGGGTTATAGAATTTTACATTTTAAGGGGAGAAACGGAGGGTGAAAGTTTGTAAAAAAAGTAATGACGTGTTTAATTGTTTTTAAGTTTTCATATTGTAGGAGGTGAAAGGGGGGAAAAGGGGTGGGGTGGTTACAGTTTGGGGGTGGTGAAAGTTTATATCGGAGTATCGATTTTTTAAAGGTAGGAACCTGAAAATTGGAATCGTAAGGAATATCGTAAAAGTAAATAAATAAAATAAAACTAAATAAATAAAAAATATATTACTAAATAAAAATAAATTAAATTATTAAGAATAAATAAGAATAAATACGAACAGTCATACATTTTTTATATTAAAAGCACGACTTCAGACGTGTAAAGCCGCGGGCAACAGCTAGTATTAAATAAAAATAAATAAAAACCAATAAAAATAAATAACAAAACAAACAAATAATATTCAAATAAATAATAATTAAAAAGATTAATAAAATTTATTAAAATGTAATAGAAATTAAAAATAATAAAAAAATAATAAAAATTAATAAAAAATAATAAAAATTAATTTAAATTAATAAAAATTAATAAAAATTATTAAAAATTAATAATTGAGATTTGAGAAATTCCAGCGAAGCGAGATCGGGTCAGCTAGTTTGTATTAAAGTTTTCTCTAATGTATAATAAACAATGTGAGTGATTCAATTTTATTTGTAAACAAAAATAAAATTAAAAAAAATAATTTTAGACTTTACTTTATCGTTTTCAAAATGACAGCCATTTAAATATTTAAAAGCTAAATAAATAGCTAAATAATGAAAAAATAAGTAAAGTCAATGGTTATTTTTGTATACTTTTATATTTGTATTTTGAACATTTTTGACAAATTTCATTGAAATACCATCATAAATAACAAAATTTATCCCAATCTTGGATTTTGAGTATGTTAAAATAGACACACACTTCACCTAGTATAATGCAAAGAGAATCATCTGTATTGTAATTTTGCCTAGGTCAAGGAATTTTTTATAACATTTTAACTGTACTATTGAAGAAGATAACCCTAATATATAAATAATTTTGAAATATTACAAAATAATATACATAAAAATTTAAAATGGCAAAATATATAAAAATACAATCCACAATCTGAAATTTAAAATATATAGAAATATAGATACCATAAAAAAATTAAAAATAAATGTTTACTTCTGAATGATGGTAACACATGCCAAAGCATTTAGAGTATTTTGAGTAAAAACCTATGCTATATCCTTAGGCTATTTTTACACCCTATTCGAACATTTTATGTTCCTTTTTTTCACAAAAATCAGATTGCTCTGCTAGTTTGGGTCAAAAACAACCACATCATAGTTTTAGGCTCTTAAAATATAACCCTTTTTGAAAAAAATACTATTTTTAAATAATACGTGCTAGCTTCGAAGGAGCCTCGTAGAGCACCGGAGGGAGCACCACATTTTAAGCTATTTTTAGGTTCCTAAAACATCTTTTAGAAAAAATGCTGTTTTTAAAAAATCAGGGATGTTTTGCTAGATTCGAATCAATCCAGAAAAGCACCACGATTTTTTAATGTTTTTTTTGTTCTTCTTAAAACAACCGCATTACATTTTTAGTCTATTTTCTCGGATTTATTCACTCGCACAAAACAAACAAATCGACTGATAACCTTTATATAGGTACTTTTTTCAAAACAAATCACAGACAACATGAAACATGTATACTTTTTTGTCCGTTAATTTTTACGATATTTTAATAGTATTCTGCTATTCAGGGTGGACACGAATCCAATAAATAAGAGATCATTAAAATCAATGTAGCCGTTTTTGAGTTATACATGTTGTAACTAACCCGACTTTGTTTTATTTATTTCACTTCTGATTTGAAATATTTTATTAGTGAATTTATAGTGTATTGATACCTAATGAAAACTAATATATTTTTTTTTATTTTTTAAATTTGACAATGTTGCCCAGAAAATAAAATTGAGCTACCAAATTACTACATAAATGGTAAAAAATACTAAAAATCTGCCAAAATGCTTATTGCCAAATGGTTCAAACAGTAGGTCAGAATATTTTTGTTCTGAAATGAACCAACTGGTGTTGACGTTTTAGTTGGACCGCTGTGTAATATTGAACTACAATTATCACGTAAATAAGTATGCTAGCTCTATCTGTGACAAAAGTGAAGAGTTAAATTTTGAATGTTGTTCAATTACGTTTAGTTTAAATGGACTTGGGTATTGTTTGTTAACTATTTATCGGGCCCCAAAGGGTAATCTTGATACGTTTTTTAATAAGATGTATATGCTTCTTAATTATTGTTATAGTCATTTCAAATGTATCATCATTTGTGGAGATTTCAATATTGATTTTTTAAAAGATTCACGAGAAAAAGTTTTATTAGTTGATTTGATGGAGTGTTTTAACTTGCGTTGTTTAAATAGAGAACCAACTAGAATTTGTACTGACAAAAACGGTAAAACGTCGCGTACTAAAATTGATTATTTTCTCACAAACTACCTTTCTACATATACGGAAACCGTGGTAGACCTCTGTATTGGAGATCACCTAGCAATTGACGTATCATTAAATTATATAAAGGAAAAATGTTATGTAACTGATATCAATGAAAAAATACATTTTAGAGACTTATCAGAGGCGAATTTACTTAATCTGCAGCAAAAAATAAGTTCTGAAAATTTTGATTCTGTGTATGAATATTTTGATAACATAAATCTTGCCTATGAAACATTCTTAAATATTCTAAATTACTATATAGAAGTAAATTGTCCGGTTGTCACAAGAGCTGTAAAGACAAATAAAAAAAATAACTGGATAACTCCAGATATTTTGAGGATGGGAGCTGATATAAGGAATTTATTTTGGTTAGTAAAAAATTCTAATGATGTGAATATACATATTAGATACAAAGAAGCAAAGAGACAATATGTCAATAATATAAATGGAGCAAAAAAATCTCATTTTCAAAAGGGATTGCAAAATAAAACTTTTCAGCAAAAACAAAAATATATATGGAAACAGGTAAATCACCAAGATGGTAAAACATCAAAAGGTTCTCAAATTAAACAAATTGAAGTAGGAGGACTGTCAATTATTGAACCAAAACAAATAGCTAAAGTTTTTGCAGAGCATTTTGCCACCTCCACAAAAAAAGCACTACAGTCTCATTTCAATGATTTGAATTTTAAAAATTTTACTGCGTCATGTGTCATGTGTCTCTCAGACCTTTTACTTCTCTCCTGTTGATCATCGTGATGTAATTGAAGTTATTCACTCATTAAAAGATGTTAACTCTATGGGCATTGACTGCATTTCCACAAAGATAATAAAACGTATTAGTCATCACATCTCTCCAATTTTAGCAGACTTAATCAATCAGTCTATTCAGCTAGGTATTTTCCCAGATTATCTGAAAGTAGGATATGTAACTCCTATCTTTAAAAAAGGTGATAATAATTTAATTGATAATTATAGACCTATTACAGTGCCTACAATTTTAAGCAAAATCTTTGAAAAGTGTGTCCACAAAAAAATGCTAATATTTCTTAAAAAATATGAAATAATATGCAAAAATCAAAATGGATTCCTTCCAGAAAAATCTACTGAAAGTGCAGCAATAGATCTTTTTAATTTCATACATACTTCTATCGATCAAAAGTTGTTTGTGGGTGCGCTTTTCTTTGATTTGTCAAAGGCGTTTGATTCAATCAACTTAGATGTCGCTATTCAAAAATTGGAAGGGCTTGGTTTTAGAGGTAACTTTTTGTCTTGGTTGTCATCTTATATAAATAACAGACAGATCTATGTCAAAGTCGGAAATTGTAAATCTGAACTAGAAAGTGTTGATATGGGTGTGCCTCAGGGATCAATTTTAGGACCTCTAATTTTTCTATGCTACATAAATGATATGCCTAATCATATTAACTCAGAAAACATAATTTTATATGCAGATGACACAACAATTGCCACCAACGCACAATCAGTAGATGAATTAATTAGTAAATTAAATGTTTTATCTAATGAGTTTACATCATGGTGTTATAGAAATTCTTTAATTGTTAATTCAAACAAAACCGTTTGCCTTCAGTTCTACTCCAGAAATCAAATTATCCAGAATTGTAAAGTAAATGTCAATAATGCAGAAATTATGCTCTCAGATGTTACAACATTTTTGGGCATACATATTGATAGCAATATGGGTTGGGATAGCCAAATATCTAATGTTTGTAAAAAATTAAACAGCGCATACTATGCAATACTAAAATTAAAATCAATATTTACCCAAGAGCAACTGCTTAATGTCTACTATGCTTTAGCATATTCTCATATATCATACAACATTATTCTTTGGGGTGATGCAGTCAATGCATCTAAAGTATTTATCTTACAGAAAAGAATAATCCGGCTTATTTTTAATCTAGAATTAATGCAAACTTGTAAATATAACTTCAAAAAATTTAAAATATTAACATTTCCCTGTATTTACATTTATAAAACGTTGCTATATGCTAAACGCAACATACACCAATTTTTACAAAATTCAAATTATCATGAATACTCAACTAGGAATGCAAATTTATTCAGAACACCAAGACATTCAACAGCATTATTTGAGAAATCACCTGAATTTGTTGGAATTAAATTTTTTAATCAACTCCCTGATTTCATTAAATCTGAAAAGAAATATGAACCTTTTAAAAGAAAACTTAAAAACTATTTAGTAGATTCATGTTTTTATAATTTATCTGAATACCACCATATTTTAAGGTAAATGTTTTTCTAATTGTATATTTTTAATGTCCATGTCTTAGATATGTATATATATATATATATTTTTTGTATACTGTACCTATATTTATTTGTATTCTAATATTTTTTATTCATATATATTATGACTTATCCTATATCATGTAACATGATCCTAAAGGACAAATAAACTATTATTATTATTATTATTATTAAAGACGAATTCGTAATTCATCCCATTTCGCAACAAAATTAAAGAAACGAAAATGGCTCTTCTTCTATATTGGAATATTTTTCCATAGGTACGGATGTTATGGATTTATGTCGACAATCGGTTTCTTTTGACGAAAATATATTATGTACCTCCAATGTTAATAAAGAAACTGACTTGGCTAAGAACATAAAAGAAGAAGAGGAAGAAGAATCAGATTTGAAAGAGCCTTCAGGTATTTTATATTTAATTTGAAATAATTGTTTTATCACTTACCTTTAATCTAAAGTAACCCGTAATCATTTTCTTAATATTATCGAAATTTAATCATTCTAAAAAGTCGACAATATAAAACATGCAGGTGTTTTTTTTTAATTATTTGCGATTTAAACATAATTTTCCATTTAAATATCAACTTCAATATGACACCTAAAAACAAAAGAAAAAACCAATATGTATTAAATAAATACTGTAAATTGAAAACTGCATGAGTTAAAAGTTATGCAGGGTGTTTCGTAAGTAAGTTTAAATATTTCAAGTTAAGTTTAAGCTGAAAAATTCAAATAAAGTTATATCGTAAAGTACTCCATAAATTAACTCTGGTTTTCTATTTATTATACAGTATGGCCAACATGTAATTAAAAAGTATTAGAAGATCATTAACCGCTTAGACTAAGAGCCATCGAAAACTTTATAGCATGAAAATTAGGATTTTTTTATGTGGGTATACATTATAGCATATAATAACGTTTGGGTGTTATGGATCTTAACTACGGGAGGGTTTGGTAGATAATAGGCCTCAAGGTACCAAAACTTATAGCATGAAAGTTGATTTTTTTAATGTTTTATCTGAATTCAAATCAAATATGTTACAGTACCAATAGTTACATTATTATTATTATTATTAGTAGGTACATGTTTCAATTTTTTTCTTTGTTCTATGAGAGGGATCGTACCTAGGCATATATGCCTGTCTTGTGCAATCCCTTCCATAAGAAAAAAGGATAAAAGAAAAAACTATAAGAAAAAAGAAAAAACCCGAAGTATATGTTATTTGAAAAATACAAAAAGTTTAAAATATTCAAGATGATTCACAAATAGTAATTATTACTAGAGTAAAACAAGTCCAAAAATTGAGACATGTTTAAAATGTTATCTTTTATAGTTTATGGACATTTGGAATTTTGCTAAAAATCACTAATAATTAAACTCTTTGACTCTTTAACAAAATAAGCTATTTTATGTGTTTTTCAGTAAAGAACATAACAAAACTACAGGGGGGAATCCAATACTTAAAAAATATGAGCGTCTTCCAATTTTTTAAGTGTCCATATAAAATTAATATTAAGGTAACTAGCTGACCCGATTCCACTTCGCTTGAATTTTTATTAATTTATATTAGATTTTATTTATTTTATTATTTTTTATTTATTAAGTTTTAATTTTTATTAATTTCTATTAATATTTATTAATTTTTATTGATTTTTATTAATTTTAATTATTTTTTATTATGTTTTATAAATTTTTAATAATTCTTATTAATTTTTATTATTTTTATTAAGTTTTATTAATTTTTATTAATTTTTATTAATTTTTATTATTTTTTAATAACTTTTATTAATTTTTAATAACTTTTATTAATTTTTAATAACTTTTATTAATTTTGTATTTATTTTTATTTTTTTTTATTTATTTTTATTTATTTTTATTTATTTTTATTTATTTTTATTAATTTTTATTTATTTTTATTTATTTTTATTTATTTTTGTTTATTTTTATTTATCTATCTTTATTTATTTTTATTTATTTCTATTTATTTTTCTTTTTATTTATTTATTATTTTTACGATATTCCTATTTTCCTTCTTCTTTAAAAAACTATTTTAATTAACATTGACGCTTTTTAAATCCAAAGCAACTATGATTTGAAGGGTCGTTATAGGCATTAAGACATTTCCTTGGTGCATTGGCGACAGAAGGGGGCACAATAGATCTTTTAGTTCGCAGTGTATCAACACCCCATTCCCAACATAAGAACAACAACTCTGATTTCGCCACTATTAAATTGTAATTGCACGAATACTTCTTTTTTTCATTTTATATGTGTTATTTGTAATACATGATATCGGAACGCAGTGGAATAATATATGAAATGTTGGAGCAATGTCAAAAATTCATATTATTTTTTAAATTTTAATAATTTAACTTTAGAAACATTTTTTATTGAAACAAATTTTGAATCTAAACCATTCTGAAGTCATCTTAATCGCATAGACGAAATTTTAGAAAAATCAGTGCATCCGTTTAGGAGGAGTTTGATGTCATACACACGCACATTAAAAAAAAAGATATTTTCAAAATAAACTTTTTTTTGTATACATTTATAAAATTTTGTTAAAAAATGTTAACGGATGGCAGATACATTAATTAAAATCAATTATTTGAATTTTTCAGCTTAAAAATTACTGTAGAATCTGTCCTTGAATTATTTTTATGTACTTAAGAAACGCCCTCTATAGATAGGAATATTTAAAATTTTAGAATTTGCTGAAAATTCAGATGACGATCCGAACTACCTGCCAGTTGATAGTGATATTGAAAATGACGACGAAGAAAATAAGAATACTATTTTTAGAGATAATTCTAAAAGTAGCAGATTTTCTGAGGAAAATACGTTTTCCCTATCATTTAATGTACCCAGTACATCAGCGTGCGATGACGTGAAACGATTTGTTGCAAAATCTCGTGGTCGGTTGGGAGACAAAAAAGCAAATTATTGTGCATTTTGCCACACGAAACAACAAAAGATAGCTCGTCATTTAGAATTAAGGCACAAAAACGAAGAAGATGTCAAAAAATTTATGATATTGCCAAAGGGAAGCGCAGACAGAAAATCGATTATTGCAAAAATTAGAAAAAAAGGAAATTTTATATTTAATACCCATGATGATTTTAACGATGGGGAATTAATTGTTGCCCGACGTCCAAGAGCAAATTCAGTAAAAAACGCAAAAGATTTCAAAGTTTGTGCTAATTGTAAAGGATTTTACTCTGGGATTACAATAAGAAAACATTTTTTACAATGTACAGGACGCAGTTTAAAAATGGAATGAGTAGTTATGCTCCTCAGTAAAAAACGATGGGTAGAATAAACGAGAGAGCATCTAAAGTGGTTAGAAAATCATTATTTCCATTGCGAGAGGATATTATTTTCACAGCTATAAGATATGATGAACTAGTGATATGATAGAAGAGATCGTAGCCCGAGCACCGGTGGCCCGAGTATGCCATGTTTCATCCACCTTATCAAATAGTTCTGTGAATGGGGAATTTGTTATAAATGTTACTGGTGATATAATAAAAAAAAATATGGATATAATATAAACAAATATACCAATAAACCTAAATGTATACATATTATTTACTTCTGTCTACTAGTTTATCGCCAACAGGAAATATGCGTGTAAGGCAAATTATATTTAAACGTATAATATACAATAACTGACAGAATCGTTCCAACTTTCAAATTCAATAGATGTATTTTCTTTAGATGGGTATGATGTTTTATATAACGATGGAACTTTTAACAGAAATGATAGTATAGTTATATACATAAAATCAAATTTAAATTACAAATTCAACACCACATTTATAGGTCAGTGTAAAGCGGCAGAAGTTAATATTTCCTTTAAAAATTATAATCTTTTTTTAACCGCGATATACAGATCCCCTAACTCTACTCAAACACCTGATATGTTCAATATCGAATTATTAAAATATCTACAAAACTGTAAAAATCAACAAAATCATATCATAGTAGGAGATATGAACATTCATCTTTTAAGTAACGAAGAACATGTGGAAGACTATAAAAATTGCCTCGTACAATTTTATTTCATATATAAATAAAATTACTAGACCAACTAGCAAAACTTGCCTAGATCATCTTTTCCTAAAGACAAATAACAACATAGACGAACACAATAGTTTTATATTTATAAATGATATTACAGATCACTCACCGGTAGCCTTAACATATAAAACTTACATAAATTACAATACTTTAAAATTAGATCTACAAAATGAAAAATCTGATGTGTCCAACACATGACTTTCCTATCTAGTTATTATAGACTTTTTCCGGTTATTTTGTACAACCTATTGCAGCATCTCCATAAATGTTTAGAGGATAAACTAAATATATACATTGTCCACATACATCTACCTCGAAACATTTTTCTACAGATAATCATGGAAAACGAAAATACTGAAAAATTTAAATTTCCTACAATTTTTTCATTACGGACCATTTTAGAAAAATCATGTATAAACAAAAATTATAGAGATCGATATCGCAAACAACTTTTATTTCAAAAACTTTCATAAAAATCAGAATTTTGCACATTTTGTCAAATTTCTCGAATACGGACCATTTCAGGAAATTTTTACATAAAACAAAAATTATAGATAATAATATTAGAAGTAACTTTTATTTAAACAATTTTCTTCTCCAAACATAAATAACAGATATATTCCATAAAATATAAAAACGGTCTCCCATAAAGTACCCCCCCCCCTTCCAGATGTTCCGACTTTGTCCAAAATTTAATCATTTAATGTTTTTTTCTTTATCCATTTTTGAGTTTTCCTCAAAATTCGAAATTTACACATTTTCTCAAATATCTCCAATACGGTCCATTTTAGAGAAATTATGTATAGAATAAAAATTATAGAGAATTATATTACAAACAACTTTTATTTGAACAAATTTTATAAAAAAATATTTTTTTTACATTTTCTCAAATTTCTCGAATACGGACCATTTTAGGAAAATTTTGCAATAAACAAAAATTATAGACAATTATATTAGAAGTAACTTTTATTTGAAGAATTTTCTTCTCCAAACGTAAATAACAGATATATTTTATAAAATATAAAAATGACCACCTATAAAGTACCGCCCCAGATGTTCCGACTCTGCCCAAAATATAATCAGCTCATTGGACGCTGAAACAAAGCTTAAGTTTAAAATTTGGTGTTTTTCTATGTATCGGTTCATGAGTTATGCGTTATACAGACACACACACACACACACACACACACACACACACACACACACACACACAAACACACACACACACACATCATCGCGAAAATAGTCAAAACGGATTCAGGGGACCTCAAAACGTAAAAATCCGTCGAAAACTCGAGGTCGATAAAAATCATGATTCCTATA